ACACACACACACACACACACACACACACACACACACACACACACACATATATATATATTTAATTTTTTTTAAATACACACACAAACATATATATGTATATAAAGTAAATCCCTGTTCAAAATGCATCCAATTTTTATAAAAAGTCCGATCCCACACGAGCATTAGCGTTAGCATTAGCATTAGCATCTCCTAACCCACAGGTCTGTGTCCTAACCATTGAGTTGTTATCAGAGTAAATCCCTGTTCAACATGAGTCTGACAACTAAGTAAGTATAATAAATAACTTTAAACTTTAACACATGCTCTGATAGGCCGGGATCGGCTCGGATCGGGAGGTTTCAGGAGTAGCTCGGCTAGCTTTAACCCTCCGGCAGACAGAGCCTGCAGACGGGGCGGGAGCAGAGAGGAGCTGCACCACAGATCAATCCCGGCCCCGCACGCTTTATTTAGCCATTGATCCGTAGTGAAAACACATATCTGATGACAGCTAACGATGCAACTGGGGTTATTTCATCTTCAGCTGCTGGACCCATTCACTCACAGTCGAGGTGAAACCGACTTCCTGGAGCGTTCTGCTGCCTCATCATCACACAGAAAGCCCCGTAATGCTTCGCTGTTATTCTCTCCAGGGAAACAAGCTAAGTGCATGTGCTCCCCCCTCCCCATCTTGCAGTGCACATTGACATTTACCCGATACAGCCATGTTTTTTCCCAGTGTTTTAGCTATAGTGACAACTGTGAGCTTTTGTTGCAAGGAGGAGGGAGGGAGAGGCCAGAAGAGGGGGGGGAGGAGGAAAAGATAACAGAAACCTTCCTAAAAATGGGCATAACTTACAATATTTGTCTTAAAATGATCCTCAGAAACTGTAAATATCATTGCATATTAGAAGAATGACGCCTTAGATGTAGTTTATTACTAAGAACTGAAAGCATAAAAGTGTGCGAGCGCTTTTAAGGTAGTGTGAGAGCAGATGGGGGAGGGGACAAGGGAGGGGACATTTTTCATCCTGTGTTATCTTGTGAGGCGTTTCAAGGGCAGGGGCTTCATTTAAAGCTGGAGGAGAGCAAGGCTAACGTGGTTAGCGGCTCTGGAACACAAAAGCACAGCCGTCATCATCCAGGAGGAAGGACTCCTTCCTCTGTGGCTCTTCTTTTTTTTTCTTTTTTTTTTTTTATTGAACTTTTTTGCAAAGCAGGGAAACATTAAATATTAAACACTCTACATACATATGAGAGGGATGTACACATATATAAGAATAAT